CCAAGAGTTGTGTTCGTATTTCGGAGGCAAATGTAGAAGTTCTAGAGGACGACGCAAACGCTATTGAAACTCTGTCTAAACTCTGCTTAAACTCTGAGTGGAAACTCTGGAAAAACTCTGAGGTCTGGCGTTAACTCTGTTTAAACTCTGTACGGAAACTCTGATTAAACTCTGTTTGAACTCTGTTGAATCTCTGCGGTCTGGCCAACGCCTGGCCCTGCGCGCAAATGCTGCTTCGGGTCTGAGTGGGAATTGTTCCTTATATCTGGTTTCGGTGTAATCTCGTCGCGCCCAGCCAGATTGCACTGCGTCGGCCACTCGCGCTGCTCCGACTGCCTGGGAACGCATAAACAATGCGCGGTAAAGAACGGGCCAGGCGGCGCATCAGGCCGGGCGCTGCTCGCGTTTTGGAAATTGCCTGCGGCCAAAAATGGCGCAGCACGGCCGCCGCCCCCATCGCAGCCCACCCCCTGCTGCGCGCGCAGCGATTTGCGCAGCGAGCGACACCCCTCCAGCGCGCCCCCTCGAAATCCTGCCCGCCCTTGGCGGCTCGCCCAGAGCCCGCGCCGGGCAGCCTTCTGTCCGCACGAGGACGCGCGGCGACGCGATCGCACCAGCCCCTGGCGCCCGGCCACAAGAAGCGCGCCACGAACGGGCGGCCTGCTGAGAAGGGCCAGGGGATGGCATATGCGCAGAAGCCACCCCAAGTCGGGCGACGTCAATGGCCCCCGCATAAAGCAGAGTCTGTCGGGGCTACTACGGCAACCGAGCGCACGACAATGCCCAGCACATCGGGATAAGGGCTATGAGCGCGGGGCTGTTGCGGGGCGAACGCGGAATGCGCGCCCCAGCTGTGTGCGCGGGGCGCCCTGCGCTGCAAGCCTGTCTCGCGCGCTGGTCGGGGGGACGGGCGGCGCGTTGCCGCCGCGGGCGATCGCGCGCGCGGCCCCGCCCCCGCACCGCGCGCCCCGAAACCTACCGGGCGCCCCGCGCGGTACTGCGCCGCTACGCAAACTCGCGCAACAACCACAAAAAAAAACTACCTGCGAGAGGCAAACCATTGCGCAACGCACGTTTATGCGAGAGAACACCACCATACTCGCGATGTTCCCGCCGGGACAAAGCAACAACCTGCGACAAGCTCCCAAACTCTGCCCCGCGCCACAATTGGCAAATACGCGCATCACTGGTAAGTGCGCGCGCGCACGGGCGCAGTTCCTCGTTTGCGGAGGAGGCGTTTCCCCTCGAGGCCCTCGCGGCCCCCTGGGCACGTGCTTGCGGCTTGCGTTTCGGGGATGGGCCTCTCCTACATCATGGATCGCGTTCACCCGTCTCTCCGGGCGGCGCTCGCCCGACGTCCGCCCCATGCCACAATTCGCTTGCTCCGCGCAGAAACGGCGATTCTGCGCATGCGCGCCTGGCACGATCTCCGGCGCGCAACCGCGCGACCCAGGCACGCGCGCCGGTCGTGTCCGCAAAAACGCCCGCCCACAACCGTGCGACAACGCGCCGCGACGCCGCCCCCCAATAACAACGCCCCCCAGTGCGCCACGACCTGCTCCGCGGAAAACAACCGCGCGGTAGCCTCGCGACGGCGCCGGCCCCGTGGCAGCCCGCCAAAGCGCCGGCCAATTTGGGTTGGGGCGGGGGCAAGCGCCCCTCGCCGCAGCTCGCACTCAATACAGGAAACGATGCGCGGGCGCGGCATCTTGCGCGCGAGCGTCTGCCAAGAACGCGGGCGCGACCCTGGCGCGACGGGGGCCCGCGAATCTTGCCCGCGCAGGGGGCGCGCTGAACATCTGCCAAATTGGCCGACCAGGAAATTCTGGATTGCCCCGAACCAAAATGGCTACATCGGGAAGCGGGGGCGGGAGGGGGGGAAAGGAGAAGGGGGGAAGGAGGGGCCGGGCAGGTTCGAAGAAGACTGGGGGGGCAAGCGAAGCCAGAAGGAACAGAAAAAGGAGACAGAGAGAACGCAACCAAGGACGAGGCAGGGAAAGGAAGAATGGGGGATGGTAAACAGAAAGAAGGGATCAAGAATCAAAAAAGGAGGAGGGAGCAAGGAAACGATGAGGAGGGAGGGGACCAGGGAAAACGGAGGAGGGACGGAAAGGGCGAGGACAGGAGGGGCGGACGATGGAACGCACGGAAGGAGGAGGAGGAGGGAGAACGGGAAGGAAGAAGACGGAGGATTGCCGCGGCCTTGGGAGGGCGCCAGGCTCGACCGTGACAGGGCCCATCGTCGAAGCCGGGTGCTTCGGGGACCGCCGCGGCAACGATGGCGACAGCAAGGAAGCGACGACAACGGCGACGACGAGGGGGCCCGGGATGGAGAGGGGAAGGGAGACGGGACGACGAGGCGACGACAACAACAAGAGGGCAGAAGGGAGGGATGAAGGAGGGAGAAGGGGGGAGGAGGGGGAGAGGAAGGAGGGAGGACAGATATGACGAAGGAAGATCGGGGGGATTTTACGAAGGAAGCTCGGGGGCTGACGAAGAGGGCCCACGAGGGCCAGAAGGCCTCGAACCTCGAGAATTCGGGTCCGAACCCCGGCGTGAACCAGACATGCTCCGGCACCGCGGCTGGCGTGCAAGGCGGTGCCGTCATGAAAGCCTCCTGGAGTAAAGGAGGACCCAACTTCGAACCGCACTGGGATGTCCCCAAAAGCAAAAGCTATAAAATACATCACAAAAATATCGATGATCGAAGTTCGAGGAGGCTCGAGGAAGAGGAGGAGGAGTCTGGGGAGGTCGCAGAAGGGCAATTTCTCATTCAGAATTCGTCTCGCAGACGGCCCCCGGGGGCCGGGATCGAGGAAAAGGCTCCGAAGCTCACGATTCCACGACACATCGACGAACAGGCAAGGATCGAGGAGGATCGAGGACCGAGGAGGATCGAGGAGGATCGAGGAGGAGGAGAAGGAGGCATCCCAGACCCCAAATGTTGCGATTTTTTCAAAATGTGGGCCCCTGGAAACCTTGATTTTTTCCCTGGGGCCAAATTCCCATCCTGAGCTGTTTTTCGGCGGTCCCGGGGCCCGGTAACGGTCCCCAGAGAGCCAGAATTGCCAAAAACTTCCCGTCGTGTTTGTTTCTCCACGACGCAACAAAGGGCTGGGGATCGGTGCTGCAGAGACCGCCGGCCCGCCGACGCACCGCGGCGACGGCGGCGCGACCCAGATGCACCGCATGCTCCGGCACCGCCCAGGGGAGGCTCCGATTCCCGCTCCTCCGAGAACGACGACCGACGAACGACGACCGACGAAGACCGACGACGACGACGACGACCGACGACGACGGCGACGACGATCGACGAGGAACGACGAGGACGACGACGACGGCGACGGCGACGGCGACGACGACGACGACGACGACGACGACGACGACGGCGACGGCGACGGCGACGGCGACGGCGACGGCGACGGCGACGGCGACGGCGACGGCGACGACGGACGACGACGACGACGAACAACAACAACAACGACGACGAAAGAAGACGACGACGACGACGACGACGACGACGACGAACGACAAGGCTGCGTCGGCGGATGGGGCGCCGCCAGCGCCTTGCGCTCTCCCTCCGCCAAGGCACGCCGGGCGCCTGCATTTATTTTCCACCCGATGGAACGAGTTCAAAACAAATCCCCGGACCCCGGAATCCAAGCGCGTAATTTTTCCGAGCCGCGCCCAGCCGCGAGGCGACGAGGATATTGAGCCTCCGAAGGCCAGAAAGCCTCACCCCTCGATCCTTAAGGTTCGCACCTCGACGCGAACCTTCGTCGGGAGTGGGTCGAGAAATACAGCGCCATAGCGACGAGACCGGGGAGTGCTGGGGCCCTGGGGCGCCGCCGACGTCGGGGCTGCAATAGGAGTGCCTTGGATGGCACCGCAAGCCACGCCACAAGACGGGCCGCAAGCTTAGGGCAGAAAACACTTCTGCGGCACAACTCGCGATGCTCAGAACCTTCGGCAAAACGTGTCGTCGTCCTCCCCTCTGGCGCCACACTGGATGCATGGATTGAGGGAGTGAGCAACGTCGTCGTCCTCCCCGTCCCTGTCCTGCCTGTCCCCCCCCTCATCCTCCCCCCCCATCCCCCTCCGCCCTTCCCCCCCCGCCTCTTTCTCTTTCTTTTCCTCCTCCTCCTCCTCCCCCTCCCCTGGTCATCATCGCCATTACCATCATCATAATCATCATCATCATCATGATCATCATCATCATCATCATCATCATCATCATCATCATCATCGTCCTCTTTTGCTAATATTCCGCATCCCCCCTCGGACCCCGACTGGGGCCCATCTAAAACAAGTCGCTCACCCTGGACCGATTTTTCACGGCTCCGGGTCAAGGGGCGCCCAAGCGGGGAATCGCACGTGCATTACCTGGCTTATTTTCTTCTGGAAAAAACTGCGCACACCTGTTAGCTTCCACTCCTGATCGTAATCTTTTTTCCTTTGGCCATGCGACGACGGCCGCTCCCGGCCTGGCAACAGCTGGACCTGACCGACAATGTTTCACCAGCCATTATGCGTTCCCTCTTGAATTGCTGCTCTCGGTCGCCGCCGCGCCGCGGCACGTGACACAAAAGCGGTGCCGCCAAGCGTCCAAGAGCTAAGCTGAGCGAGCGCTGCTGGGAGACCGATCGGCAGATCGGCAGCATCAATGCATGCGGCCAAACCCATCTGGGGCCCAGGCGCGGTGCATGCGTTCCCTAAACATTTGCACCGACCCTGCACCCGCGAAGCCTTGATGGGCCTGGCCACGGCCGGCGCGCATGTCATGTCTGGACAACGCCCTCGGTGGGGCCTTGGAACTACCGCGCGCTGATGGCGGCTCGGAGTGGACAAGACTTCGGGGCCGGGTGGCCCGAGTTCCCCGGCACGGAGAAGACAGGATGCAAAACTGCGGGGGGGCCGCTGGTGCGCAAAACTGCGGCCTGTCGCCTCCGCGCGGGCGATGGGAGCTCGCGCCCCTGAGGCCCTCGGGCCCCGCTCGGGGT